AATTCTTATCTTTCCTAAGTCTTTTATTAAATATCTATAATTACAGTAATGTAAGCAAACTAAAATGATTTATAGTCTTAGAATTTCTAAATATAAATTTAAAATTTTAAAAGTTAGGGTAATACATAGGATGCTTTAGCTCCATGCTTCCTTAAATATCTTTAATAACATTTTCAGTAATTGCTGAACTGATTGGTCTGAATCTCCCCATGCTTTCCTGTTTTTATATGCTTTTTGCCAAAGCTGTTTTAAATTTCTTTCTGCAGCATCTTACCCCCACTGTATCTTCTCTTTCCTTTCCTCACATGCTTTATCAAAGCAGATGTTATCCAAGCAGGTGAAATGGAGAGTGGAGACAGTTGTCCATATAATTCTGCAAACCTGATATGGAGTAAAAGAGATTTAGAGAGATAGAATTACCCAAATAACCATCTGTGTTGGTCAATTGTTCAACTTCTTGTTTCATTTTGGCAGGACAGCTAGAGATGGAGTGAATCTGTGAGAGAGTAGATCATTGAACAGAAACAAGGATAACCTTTTAGACAGATATGTTCTACCTTCTCTAAGGGGAAATCATGACGTACTAATTTGGGAAAGTGGTCTGAGAATGTAATGAGTCTGTGATAGAGGAGAAATTGGTAAACACTATTTGTTTAGACCTTTAAAGTGCCTTGCATAAGTACCAGCCTGAAAGTGGGTTAAAAGAAGATGCAAACAAATAACTACATTATAGTTAGATTGGGAGGAAATGGTGAGGACAGAGTAATTTTGTTATGAACAGAGAATGGGCAAGGATAACAGGGGAGAGGGGGGAGATAAATTGGCATTTCTTCAATGAGATAAGTGGTGATCAAAGATCAGGGCTGGACCCATTCTGATTCCACATTTTTATGGTAGTCTAGAAGGTTTTAGTAATGAAAGTAAGTTTTGGTAGAAAAATGTCAAATTAAGAAGGACATGACTTGACATATGAATAGAAAAGTGGTTAAATGGAAATCATTGCTTGTGGGGAGTTGGGAGGGGTCCGTGTTGTACTCTCATAAACAAGGACTTTGAACTGAAACCAGTGATTCCCAAAACAGGACCTAGGAGTCTTGGGTTCAGGCCTCTTCCTAGGTCAGTTGACCAAGTCAAACAAATGCTAGCCATTAAACTCTAGTGGTCACATTAGTCAATCTTGTATATCACAGTAAATATTATGTACAAGTCTAGCCATTGTTGTCAAGACAGGTATACAGCATAGCAAGACATGGAGTTGTATGAAGACCTCAAGATTTTTCAGTCTGTGATGATAAAAATCAGAGGGAATTATTATAATTTGTAAAATCAAAAAGTGTTTGGGAAATTGCATATCAAATTTCAGAATACTAGACCACGAACCATCCCCAGAACTTTATAGAAGAGGTAATTTTAGTGTCAGTGAGAGGAAGAAGCACATCTTAAGGAATTTTTACTCAGGGGTTATACCAGCTGTATATGTAAATAAACTCAGGAAAAATTTCTATGAATACATGGTCTAGATGGGCATTTGGAACACATTTCTAACTGTTTCCAGTTTATATACTTTAGTCAAAACCTATCACAATAATTTATGTGATGCCATTATCAGACAAAGAGTATTATTGGGTTCGCTAGGTTCCAATCCTGCCTAAGGTGACACTTCTTTTACATTGGCTTAAATAACTTGTTCTTCATCTTTGAAGAGCAGTTGCATGGTCCATTTTTTCCTTTTTATGTTTTTTGTCATATTAATTTTCTCTGTTTTTTTCTTATATTTATTCCCTATATAACAGTGTACCAGAATCCCAGTGTCTGGTCTTCCTTTATACCAAAGAGATCACAAGGATTGGAAAACAAATTTACATTCTCCTGAACATTTTTCAAATCTCAGAAAGCTTAAATTCAGTTTGAACTTAGAAGCTGAGTATGCTCATGTATTCCAAAGCCATCAAATTGAATTTACCCTTCCAGAAGGTCATCTTAATGCCACAGCCAAAATTTACCCAATGGTTGTGAATAAATAACCAGTAAGAATAATTTTTTACTATTTTAACAAAAACCATGGGATAAAGTTAGAATAAATAACCTACATTTAATTGATGTGGTTTTGGCAACAAGCTTAGTTTTTTTAGCTTGTTTCAGCCGTACAGATGAAGAGAAGGATGTGCAAATAAACTACAGATGGAAGAACAGATCCCTTTAAGTTTCCGTTGCCAGTACCACATGTAGCTTAAAGATGTTTAGGAAACTGGAGATAACAAAGAGTTATTTACATGACTACTTGCATTATAGCAAAGTGTGCCAATTAATAAGATGGTGTTAATATTAAACACCCACAAGTTGCTCTTTCTGGCTGGTGAATTGCATCAGGTCCTCATTGCATATTTAGCTGAAACTTTTGTAGATATGATGGAAGTCTCAAAGTAAAAAGAGAGTTTGAGTATGAAAGTTTTCTGTTTTCCTAGAATTTAAGAGGATTGAAGGAAAAAAAGGGGTTACTAAAGTAGTTTGTTCGAATCTTTAAGTGGGTAGGTCATTGGACAGAAGCAAGGATAAGCTTTTAGAATAAATATACTGTAAGTTCCCTAACTGAAAATTATAGCATACTAATTTGGGGATGTTCTCTGAGAATATCATTAGTCTGTAAATAAGGAAGCATCAGTACATGTCATTTTTTAGGCTCCAAAATGGAATTCTCAAGAAAATGGACTCCATCCTTTCTATACATGAGGAAACTTGCAGTGAACTCCAAGTAAGCAGGGTAGTTGTTTAGTAAAATGTATCCATGTGTTGCAGTATAACACTGACTGCACAGATGACAGTTGGGTTTGCCTTGGATTCCAGGACAATATGTGTACTAGGTACCTACAGGTCACCTCTCCCTGACAACTACTTATGGAATCTTATTGAGTACCTGCTTCACAATGAGCAGTATTCCAGGCTTATTTAAAATGAGCTGTGATTATATGAGTCAGAATAGTTTTTTTAAAAAAACCCTTGTTGTCACTCAGCAAGCAGGTAGCCAAGCATGTCTTCAATGGCAGTCTTTCTGACTCCTGTACTCCAGTCTTTCTGAAGCCTATACATGCTCTTCTCACTTTATTCATCTGAATATTCAGAGTAACTTGAAGCAGAAGTTAGGTTTTCTTCAGCTTATCCTATAACAACATACATTACAGATACGTTAAAAATACCAAGAGTTTGGGTTTACAAATTCAAATGAAAAGGGATTTGTGAAATAGGATCTGTGAGAAGTTGAGATGCTTGAATCTACAAAAGAGAAGGCTGAGAAACAAATTAGTTACTGGCATTTTGCTAACACCCAAAATCATGGGTAATTCAGATTCCACTCACTTGGAAATTTATATGAAATCAACTTTTCCCTTTGCAGCTATTTATAAAGATAGTGTTGCTATGTGAAAGAATATCGTACAAAACGAGTTTGGAAGAAGCATAATCAATGCAGTTAAGAGAACAATTTGTTTTAAAACAGAACAACTCACTGTTCTGTGTAAATGCCTATAGGAAGCTACTGGGTAATCTCATCTCCTCACTACAAATGGCCCCCAGGAACTTGACTCTGTAAGAATTTAGTTTTCACACTACTGTGGGTGCTGTTGTTAAATGGGATGCTGGCGTTCCACATGGCATCTAGAATCCCTGAGGATGAAGGCCAGAGTCATGGTGCCACACTGGCTTTTGCTCGACCTGGGACATGCAGGCCCAGTGATACTGTGGGGTTGCTTTGGGGACTGAGGAAGATGCTAAACAGCCTTCCACTGGCTGTCCTTTGTCTTGGTAACCCACCCTTGTTCTGAGGACTTGGAAGTACTAAGAAATCAGTCTTTAAATTATTCAATAATTCTGAATGATGTTATCCCTCTGGCCATCTGAATTAATGAAGTCTGGCTGTATGTGAAAAATAGCTACAGAGAAGAAGGAAATCAACTGTTTGCTTTGGTTGCTGGAGTCAGAACAAAAAGAAACAGATTGAGATTTTACACAAAAAGATTCACACCCAATGAATATAAGGAGGAATGTTCTGGAAATCAATTGCCTTTTCATCCATCTGTCCATCCATTACACATCAGTGGGGCTGAGTGCGTGTTAGGCACCGTGCTGAGCACTGGAGATGGAGAATGAATCATTCTGCATCAGCCTGGTGCATATCATCACTGTCCCGTAGAGTAAGGGCAGTGAAAGGATCAGGAACGGGCTTATATGGGAGCACTGAGGAGATGAATAAAATCCAGTTCTGCCCCCAGGATGCTTACACTCTACTAACACTTATTTTGAGAACTGCTGCCATTTACCGAATAAATTAGGCTAGGTGTGCCAGTTCCATGCATCATGCCGGGTTTATCACATGCTTTGTGTCTAGTTCTCAAAGCACCCAATAATGAAGAATGTGATGTAATTTTCACATGAGAAAACTTCAGGGAGCAGCAGGGTAACACTCATTGGAAAGATGAGGGATTTTATATCACACACCCTAAATTACCAGTTTAAAAATTTCCAGTGGAAACACTTCTCCATAATTTCTTCTCCACCACCATCCCACACAGAACCTTACCCACAAGCTGTTCATTTCCTGCAAACACAGCAGTGCCCCTCTTTCCTGTCACCTGATGTCAGACAATATTCCTAACCCAAGCAGTCTTAACAGTCTTCCTCAAAAAGGAGGGCCTTATAGAAAGTCCTGTATCTGCTAAGAGACTAGAAAGCTGTCCTTCTCCTTGCATGCCAAACATGTGCAAGGTAATGCATGCAAGATGTCAGTAAAAGATCCCAAGTCTATTCTGTAAGTAAGAGATTCCCTGCCATTCTGCTGCTGGCCTGCCCTGATGGGTCCCAGATGTGTTGAGATGGAGATTCCTCAGGGGCCTGCGGGCTGGTGTTTTCCTTGGTAAGCCACATATTTTTTAATGTGTGCCATGGCTTTAAAAGGACTGGGAAGCAGTGCTGTAAGTTATCCCATGAAATGTCTGGGGTAGGTGGTGGTGACAAGCATGAGAGCCTACCTTGAGAGACAGAGAGAAGGCCAATGGCAAGATGGGAATAGGTGAGAGGGCTGACTAGGGTCAGAGATGTAATTGGTGACCTTGGGAGAATGAAGCCTGCTGGCACATCCAGCAACCCATCCCTTGAGCTCATTAGTAAGTCCCTGTTGGCAGCTGTACTCCCAGCCACAAATGTGAACTCACACTTGTTGAGAGCAAGTCAACTCATGGAAGATACAAGGCAGGTTGTCCCTTTGAGCTTTGTGCCTACACCAGCCATTTAATTATTTTGTGAGTTCTTCTCTGAGAAAAAACTGGCTCCAGAAGTAAAGTATCTAACACTTTTCAGGTTACAATATTTTTATGAATTGCAAGAAGCTGGTAGTGCTTTAAAGAAACTACATAAAGATTGTGTCAGCATTTTCAGTATAAACTCCAGTTTCCAAAGGTTTATGCATTCTAAAGAAATTTGCTTGAGGGTGAAACTTGGCATATGTCTGAGCCCCTGACTGTCCACACCTCATTTTGTAGGTACTTGCAAACAAGTCTTCACATTCACTACATTTGGCATTTGGAATTTTTAGAAATAAAAAATGGCCTATTTAATAGCAGGTGGTTTCTGAGATTAATGCCAGTGCTCACAATTCTCAGAGAATCAGAGAACTTGGGAATTGCAAAAGTCCTGTTTTGCAGATTCTGATATGACACTGTTCTATGTTGAAGGAAAAGGAAAGTAAGGAAACAGATGGAGAAAATGTTGATGTCCTCAGAAGGGTACCAGGCTTAGACTTCCTTCACCATTTTTCTACACCAAATTCCTCCTCTGCCCTATTTTCTGCAACTGTCCCATGGCCATGTGTTATAGGCCAGGCAAACATGTGTGCTTTGCATATGGGGCCTATCCCAAAATAACCACAGAACAGGCAGCCAAGAATTCCACTTTTTGAATCATCATTTGAGGGGGCTGGATTAAGTGTTCTCCAAACCATAAAATAGGTGTGGGAGAGAGACAAAGCTAGAAAAACATTGCCCTTGGAGGCAGTGCCCATCACCAAACTGGGCAGGCCAAGTAAACTCTAGAAAAACCCTCACATGGAAGTCTAAGGATCCAGTCCAAGAGGACAAAGGGAAAGGACTAGGCAAATGTGTTTTTTCAAGAACTATGTAGATGAGGATACACAGGCATCCTGAATAGGGGTGGACAACTGGGTAGGTGCTGGGAATGTTGGTAGTAGACTCCAGCCTCAGAATAGGGAGCCCAGGAACCAAGCTAGAATTCTGAGGCCAGCACCAATTCCAGAAGGGAATCTGGGCACCTCGTCTTGGAGCCGGGCACCACGCTGTGAGTCTTCTGCTCACATGGCTGCCTCGGTGGCTTTGAACTGAGCAGACCCACTTTTGGATTACATGTGCTTTTTAGGAGAATCAGTGTAGGTGGTTAAGAGCATGGTCTTTATAGTCAAGCAAGACTAGATTCAAGTCTAGGCTCTTTATTTATAGCATATAGCTTTGGGCAAGTTGCTTAACCTCTTAGAGCCATGATTTTTCACTTGTAAATGGCAATAATAATTCTTACCTTATAGAGCCATCAAGATAAAGAGATGATAAAAAGATAGCAGTGAACTCCTGGTAGCTGTAACAAACAGCCAAACTTCTGATGACCCATCTTCACAAAAGAAAAAGAGCCCCTAGTGTCCTGCTCTGCTGAGCACTCCTTGGTTCAGGGGTAGGTGGTCCTGAAGATGCTGGGAGTAAATCGTTAGGGCAGACAGCCTGTGGCATATGGGGTCCAACACATCAAGGCCATGACATCCCATGAAGCTTTGATTCCCATCCCCAAAGACTGAGTTGATTCTGATGAAGACCCACTTACTCCTTTGTGAGTCTGAAATATTTCAGACTTTGAGAATTGCCCCAAGTACAACATGTGGACAGGCTAAATCTGAAGAATGTAAATATCTAGGCTAAAATTAAGAAAAGACGCAGAAGTCTGAATAGCAAGGTCTGACTTTTTAATTTCTTCTGGCAGTGTCTCCCTATGAAAACAACTGCTCATTTCTCAAAAAGGCCATTCTGTAACATTAAGTCCCCTTGACTGAGGAGATGATGACTAGAGAAGATAATGAATAATCCGTAAGGCTGGTTGAAAGTAGAGCTGACCAGGTAGAAGCCTTGCAATGAGTGGGGCTAAAACTTAACCGTTGTGATTCTGGGAACAAAGAGCATCTGTCAAACTATAGCTATATGATTCAGGATTCCTGCAGTCCATGACCAATCTCTGAGATCTGATGGTATGTGAGATGGGTAAATGGCACCATACTGGAGCGGAGGATACCTGCATCTTCTTACTAAATATCCATTTAGAGACTGCAGTCTCTCTGTTAATAGAGACCTCATCTTCCTGGTACTTCCAGAACCAAGCACCAAACCTACTTGAACCTAGAAAAGCCAACTCAGTACCCACTGTACCCGTTTGTTTTTACCTTAGTATTAGGAAATTCCCAGAATTCTACTACTAACTTACAACAAAGAGGTTTCGAGGAGGGTGGGGGAAAGGGCATATTCTGAAGTTTTGATACTAATTGCTTAGCATCAAATGAGATTATGTATGAAAGGTACTTAAGGATAAGCTATTTTCCTATCAGATATCTACCAACAGGTAGTAAAAATACTAAACATTTTGCATATGTCGCCATTCATTATCTCATTTATTCATCTTTCTCACAGTGTGCTTCGTGTCATTCTAAATTCTACTGATTTGATGGTGAAAATGTTTTAATCCTCACTGCAACCCTGAGGCCCCAAAAGGTTAAGGCCCTTGCCCAAAGTTTCACCCAGTTAGATATTAGTAGAGACCACATCACAAGCCACTTTTCCATAAAGTACTAAAGAAATGGTACCTGTGGGTATTTTGATACCAAGATTAAAATTAATCTATTATATTCCCCACCTAGTGGTGTCTAGCTAGAGCTAGACTTACAGATGAAACTGAGGAAGTTTCATTCCAAGATAATCAAATGAACAGTAGACTTTTTGAGTGGCAAATAGATCTTGGAAGCTGTCTCATTGGCTTGGATAAACCACACTGTCATTTCAGAAATTAAATATGTAATAATTTTTTCAGATATTGCATTTTTGTCTGTTTATAAATTTTTTTGAAGATGAGACATAATTAACCATATGTCACATTCATGGTGAAATCACCTTAATTGGTTCTAGAGAATAGTGGGATCCCTGGGAGTGAGAAGAAATCCAGAGGGGATGTGGAATATACTATAAAGCATATGTACTTCACAGGGCCTGGTTTTCCAAAGTTTTGCAGTTTCACATATTGACCTTGCAAGGACAGGAAATTTTCCTCAGGCTATAAGTCTCTGTTGCAAGATAAGAATTGTGGCACAGCAGGTTGCTGGCTCAAAGACAGACTAGTTACTGATTGTTATGTAAAGATACTGAGAAATTGCTGTAAGAAGGAATGTTTGCTAAGATCAAGCTTGTGTTGATAAGATCACTTAATTGTCTACCAGAATGTCATCTGGCTTGTTTCACTGAAAGTTACCAACCTATACTGTTAAACTATAATCCCACCTATGTTCTCTTCCTGTAACTTCCTGGTCTGAAAAATAAATGCAGGAAGAGAACCCCAATTTGGTGTTAATTTCCCAAGGAAGGGATCCCTTTTGCTGGAGGGTTCCAGCGGGAGATTAACCACTTTGGGGCCTCTCACTGCTCAGAAGAGATGGGCTTTGAGTAATTCTTTGCATCTCTGTCACCCAGGGGAAGTGGGGTGACAAATCCATGGGGGGCAAAGCAACACAAAGCAACAAGGGTACTGCTGAATTTTGTCATTGCATAAAGTGAGAGTCAAAGACAGAAAGCAGCTCTGCCATCTTCTCAATAAGACCTAAAGTGGCAACTGGGTTACGGGAAGCCCACATGATAAGTGACGTTATGATGGGTGTGGTACCCTTTGGGGTGACCCTTCTAGCATGTCAATTACTTGTCCTCACAGTCAAATTGAGAGGCCAGAGATTTAGTCACCTGCTGAATGGAGGATAATTCATGCAAGAAATACATAATTACCTTTGTTAGGACATGACTTCAATTTGTTAGGTGTGCTCATTACTCATCTTAGTTCAATTAGTAAATTTCACCTAATTGGTTGATGTCATGTGATTCCCAGATTGAAGTAAGATGATCAAAAATAATTTTTGGTCTCTGATCTGATGACTGTTCCTTCCTATTATAACTCCAGAGCACCATCCAGGGTATATGCACGTGTGACTTGCTGCCTGTAAGAGGCTGACCTTCTTACCTCATAGTAGGAGAAGGGAATGTTTTCACGTCCAAGTAAATGTCTGTTTCATGTGCCTCACTGGAAGTTTACTGCACCACTAATACTATTTCCAAATGTTTATCATTTTCCTTTTTCTTAAATTCTTGCTTCCAGGTGTCCCCTTTCCCCCACATCATACCCAAATACCCATGATCCTTCTATCCTTTCATATGCACCTTCTCTAATACTCTCTCTGTTACTCTAACTCAGAATCGAACTGCCAGATGAGAACATTGGACAGTGGGATCGGAACCTTCCCGCTGCCAGATTCAGGAAATCGCTCAACAGGACGGTACCTGTGCCAGCCAGACTCCCCAGAGGACCCTGAGCCCGTCCTGTCTCTCCAGCCAGCCCTTTCCATGGCTGCGTCCATCAGAGCCCAAACCCTTGAACAAGAAGTGCCTTCCTCCACAGACAGCCAGCGCTCTGCAGATAGCACCATTGTTCATTCTGTGTCCGACCCCCTCATGACTGCCAGAGGGATGCGACCTCTTCAAAGTCGTCTCCCCAAGCCAGCCTCCTCAGGTAAAATGCCAATTGCCTTTCAAATTAGACTGTGTTTCTGCCCATAAAAAAGCACTTGCTGACAAAAATGGAAAACTTTCTGAGAGGAGTTAGTCAGTGACCTCTGCCCGATGAATGTCCTCCACCGAAAACTAAAACTGTATGTATGAGACATTATCTACTCATAGTATTACATCAAGGAGTGCACATATAAAAAGAAACAAATGTGTGAGCTCCAGTATTTGGATATGTAAATTGATTAAGAAAAAACCATACAATATATACATTGTGGGATTTTATATTATAAAATTTAACTCCAGTTATAGACCAATTTAGGCTCAAGACATAAGTTTAGCTGAAATGTTGTTTTCCCCCTAACCAGAAACATATGTCTTTTGATGTACTCCTGTCCTGTTCAAATATATTTGTATGTTGAACTATAAAAAACTTTGATATGGCAGCAGTAGATTGAGCATTAACTGCGGTAGGACGGAATGAGCATTCTCACTGGAAGTACCATCCTTTGTCGCAGTCAATTGAAACATGCCCTCATGATTAAAGACAGGGCCAGGCTAAGGGTCAAAGTTTTTTCATTGCTCCCACAAGATTAAAAATATTTATTGCAGCCCAGGATGACACTAAATAATTTTTAACTTGTATGGCTTATGTTGCTTTTACAATATGCATAAGTATATAAGCTAGAACTCCAAACTGAACACTTTCATCTATGATTTGATGATTAGGAACATGCACATGTGGAGATTATACTATAGGCTTCTGAGAAATTAGAAAAGACTTTTAATTAAACATCTTTGAATAAATGTGATTGGACTCTTCCCATGGCTGAGTTCTGCCTTCACACAGTAATACCAACTGCCACAAGTGTTTCATCACACACTTATGCTCATTCCAAGCCAAGGCTACATTTTTAAAGGCCATAATGCATATTATTTTTGAAATAAATGCATTGTTAATTAATGGCATAGTTTCCA